TTTCCTAAATTATTGTCTTTATTTATTATAGTACGACTGTTTGCTCTATAGCTGATGGGTTATGTGTGAGCAAGATTTCCTGATAAAGAATTAGCTGTCTACGTACGTTCATAATATAAAATGTTTAATCAGGAAAATTTTTAGGAAATATTCATTTATATCATTGTATATATCAATCTTATTAATAAATTGATTTTTAGCTAGCTATGAAGCATGTAACGTTGCAATAAATAATAAAGGGTAATTAGCAATCAGATCTAACGAAACCGTAACGTGATTGTAAACAAGTTTCGGAATGAAGTATATGATAACACTTCATTAATAAGGTTAAGTTTTTAAATAATAAATTAAATTAAATTAAGTTTTAGATTTTAACTGATCTATTAGTTTGACCAAATCTGAGTTATAAGAAAAGTTGAATTGGCCTGCGATCAAAAAAATACCAAAATTATTTCAAATGGAATGTTACCCTTGCAGATACATGTACCTTTGAATATATGATTTATAAGGACATAATTTTTGCCGAATGCAGGAAGAAAGAGTTAAATGTATTTTATTATTACCTTGCTTTAAGTTAGGGTTTCGAGCTTTTAGATACACTAAACGCGATTAAAACGTTTGGGCAATTTAAATTTAATTATATAATGTGTATGATTTATGAATTTCAATATGTTTTTGACCATCATTTAAGATTAATCTTTATTTATTCTCCTAAGGAGCAAGGGTTAAGAAAAATATATTTTTACGCAAATGATAAGGCAATGCTAGTGGAAATTGAGTTGGTTATTCTACAGCATGAAACTGGACGGAAGAATGTAGTGGTGTATATTTGACTAGATATACACTTCAATACTAAGTTTACGATGAAATATGTCGTTTGGGGTAAGTTTACGTCGTTTGATTAGATTGAGGTGATTGTTGAACAAAGATAGGTAATTAAATTCAAAACAAATTTAGTAATTAGCTATTTATTAAATTTACATTAATTTAGAAAAAATAAAAATAAGGAGACATTTAAATCATTTAAATATTTTATAGCTACTTCTTTTAAGTCAATTCTTCTTAATAAGGATCTCATATCATATTTCGAATGCCTCTTTAGATTAGGAGTTAGATAAAAACGAGCCGTAATTAAATTTTCACCAACAAATGTCTTCGTTAGAAGTAAAATTAATTTTTCCCAGAAACGTGACTGGGTTATAATTTTGTTTACATTCAACAAACGTACAATCCCTTGCGTGAAACCCTTTTCAAATGTAAGTTTTATTGAATTAGAAAACATGTAGGCTATCCATTGCTATCAGTGAATGGTTGTAAAAAATGCATCATCATAAAGATTCATTCGAATAAAAAACTCATACATTTAGTTTGTAAATGTTGTGAATACAATAAGTAAGTTCAAAGGAAGTAAACAAATTAAGGAAACCAGTTAAAACAACTTCACAATTGAAAAATATTAACTTAGCGTTAGGAAATTAAATTATTTAAAACTTCTGTTCAAAATAAATGTATGGGTTCTTAAACTTGGAATCAAATGTTAATCTAAAAGTTGGACTTTCCAACTGTAACCCCGCATCTGGTGTGAAAACAAATGTTGACTTGGCTTAATTTTGTTCACTTCTCTCTACAAACTTTAAACCTAAATTTACGGACTCTACAATATTCAAAAAAGTGATTTCTAGAGATGAATTAGTTTTTGCAAATTAATTTGACTTGCAGTGTATCTTAATTATCACACAATTCTGGGAAGGTCATTTATTCCTTTTACATCAATATAATTAAACTGCCCTTCCTTTCTCAAGATTATTCAATCGCACATTTGATTGCCTTGTACCTTTTTAGAACAATGTCAAAAAACAAAGAACAAAAAACATACTCGTAAGGGTAATATATTGTAATTTTTTATAAAAACAGAGTAAATCTGCATGAGGTTTCCTGTTTAATCTTTGTTTATGAAAAGGTTTTTAATATATAAATCTGAATATTAGATCCAAATGGTTAGTAATTTTACATATTTAAAATAATAATTAGTATTGTCTGAGACTCAGTATGTGAAATAAGATGCACAGAACGTACATCTAATTTTAACAACTTAAGTTCTTAAATCATATTCTAGGGGACTTCCCTAGAAGACGGGGGCATTCGTTGTAAAGAATGTTGAGAAAGTCAAATTAAAAGTACTAAATACAAAGATTGACTTATAAATTGCAATACAATTACAACAATCACACAATTAAAACTAAAAACCATTATAAAAGAAACCATTATAAAAGAAACCCACTAGATAGGAAAATCCATCTAATGACAAACAAATAGGTTTGGATCCGGGATAGTTATATTAAAAACAAATTAACTATATTAATTGGCCATAATAGTTTATCTAACATCAGTTTCGTCTAAGAGATGCCAATATGATATTGGGGGGTAAACTTGCCTAAAAATGTTCAAATGGACTGTATGTTGAAAGAGCAATATTAAAAACTTGTCACTAATTATTTAACAGATAATACTGTAATGAGATTGATGAGGTACCTTCCTTTTAACTGAAGTGTTGAGAAGACGAAGCCGGTAGACGTACACGAGTTTCTTCTGCTGGCCAGCTATTGCGTATTGCTCGTACACAGACCCGGACCGGCAGTAGTATAGTTTCACTTCACAAATAATGTTCAATCTTTCACTTTTAATATGTGTCACTAATAATAATTAAATATACTTTGGGGTTAAGAGATGAGAGCAGCAATTGGGAGTTAATTGTGCCGGGGACATGTTAGTAGTTGCATGGATGCAAGAGAACTGGGGCGAGATTGGGGTTTCCAGACATCACGTGACAGGACAAAGGTTATTGTATGATATGAAACGTCTGGAAATATCTAGGTAGCGCTTGAATACGGAACATGCCGCCCGCCTTGAACCGTACATGGTTCAAAACATTGAGAAAGTTACAAAGTGACACATAATGAATATAGATTGACATTGAAATATAAGAAACATAGATTAAATATATATACATAACATTGAAATAGAAATATGTTTGAAAATAGAATAAACATTTTGTTTGGTCTGATAATGAGATCAGGGGGGCGGGTACACCTTGGTAGCAGGACGACAGAAGGTTCCCCGCTGAGTCTTGATGGTGACAACTCGGACGATGCCGTCCGATCCAGGCGAAGTCTTCACTATGCGTCCAAGAGGCCAAAGTAGTGGTGGTGTTCTAGGGTCCTGAATTATAACGAGATCACCCACTTCTAGATTCTTGTTGGGCTTTTCCCATTTCTTTCTTTGTTGTAGCTGATGTAAATATTCTTGATGCCAACGTCGCCAGAAGCGTTGATGTAGGGCTTGTACAGTTTGCCAATGGTTGAGACGATTTTCGGGAACCTCTTCAAGATTTGGTTCCGGTACTGCCACAAGAGAAGTGCCAATAAGAAAATGACCCGGAGTAAGGGCTGAGATGTTGGATGGATCTGCGGATAACGCTGTCAAAGGTCTCGAGTTTAGTACAGCCTCCACCTGTGTGGCGAGTGTTATTATTTCCATTAGTGTTAGAACTCTATCGCCTATGACTCTTTTCAGATGATATTTAGAACTTTTTATAGCACTCTCCCATAGGCCTCCTTGGTGGGGAGCGGCTGGTGGTTGAAAGTGAAAATTTATTGATTGATCTAACGCGAAGTTGTTAAGAGCATCTTTAGTGTTTGATTCCTTGATGAAATTCTGAAAAGTTTTCATGAGTTGCTTTGAGGCTCCAACATAGTTAGTTCCGCAATCTGAGTATAAGTGGGCACACAATCCACGACGAGAAACAAAACGTTTTAGTGCAGCTATGAAGGAGTCTACAGATAGGTCTGTTACGATTTCTAGGTGCACAGCTTTCGTAGCAAAACATACAAAGAGGCAGAGGTATGATTTTAACCGTTGAGCGTTCCTAGTTGAATGAACTTTAATGTCAAAATGTCCACTTTAGTCCATGCCAGTGTGATAGAATGGCCTTACAGGTTTTAATCGAGTTTCAGGAAGATCTCCCATCAGTGGAGGTTTGTTTACAGGCTTAAGTCTGAAACATCTTTGACACTTGAAAATCACAGATCTTATCACGCTGCGGGCTGATAATATCCAAACCTCTTGAGACAGAATAGACTGCAGCAATTGAGGGCCTGCGTGTAGATGCTTTAGGTGATAATGCATAATCAACAGTTTGACAGCACAGTGAGATTTAGGTAACAAAACTGGATGTTTCGCATCTTGTGTAAGGTTGGAATGTTTCAACCTGCCGCCTACTCGCACTATTCCACTGTCATCAATATATGGGGATAAACGAGCAAGTTTTAAGCTGCATTGAGATCCCTTTTTGAGAGCAGAGATGTCATCCTTAAATGATGTATTTTGTATGAGTTTGAAAATTCTTAATTTCGCTGAAGAAGTTTCTTGGCAAGTAAGTCGTCCAATGCGGTGATCATTGGCTTGCAGATTATGAATGAATCGCAATATATATGCCATGACATTTACAAGTTTCCTGAAACATGAATATTTTTCCAGTATATCAAAATCAGTGAGTTTAATCTTCTCTGTGGTTGCTAGAACGTTTAGAGGATTTGGCCTTATTTCAAGAGTGTCATCATCAATAACAGGTGTGAATTTTGGCTTAGGCCAAGAATCTGGCGATGACTGTAACCATTCCGGTCCATTCCACCATAAATGATGAGTCACAAGTTGAGAGGGTGAAAGACCACGAGTGGCGCAATCTGCCGGGTTGTCTTGAGATTTGACATAATTCCATGAGTGAGGAGAGACCAATTCTTGGAGTTCTGAAATACGATTGGCAATGAAGACTTTCAAGCGGTATGGAACAGTACGTATCCAGGTTAGGACAATTGTGGAGTCACACAAAGCATGTATTGATTCAATCTTCATATGAGCAGAGAGTATGTTTGAAGAATATTGAAGAAGTTTTCCCAGTAAGTGAGCGCCACAAAGTTCAAGCCGTGGCAGAGAAATTCTTTTCAAAGGAGCGACTTTTGATTTAGAGACGATGAGATAGAGCCTTGTATTCTCTTGAGAGTCAGTGACACGAAGGTAGACAACAGCAGCGTAGCCTTTCTCTGAAGCATCGCTGAAGCCGTGGAGTTGGCCGTATGCAGAGAAGTAGAAATGTAGCGTGGAATTCTTAATTCTTGAATTATTGGGAGTTCTTCTAAGAATGAATGCCACTTGGTTCTAACATCATTTGGAACAGGTTCATCCCAAGTTAGCCCTGTTGTCCAGAGATACTGAATAAGTTTTTTTGCCCAGAAAATAACGGGTGTAAGAAATCCTGGTAAATCGTACAGTTTAGCGATTGTAGATAATATTCTTCTCTTTGTAAGTATAGCACTTATTTCAACATCCTTAACCTTGTAAGAAAGCATGTCAGACTCTGGAGTCCATTTTAGACCTAGGACACTGAAGAAGGCTTCACTATTTTCAGTTAACTCCACTGGAGTCTCTTTGTGTTCAATTGGGACTTGGTCCAATAGTTGGGGTGCGTTGCTAATCCATTTTCGGAGTTCAAAACCTCCTCTAGAGAGCAAGTTCTTGAGTTCATTCTGTGCAGATAAAGCTTCATCAAGACTTTCTGCTCCAGCGATGATGTCGTCATAAAATATTGATTTAGTTAGAATCTCAGACGCCTTGGGGTATGAGTGACCCTCATCTTTGACCAATTGTTGTAATGTTCTGATCGCAATGAACGGGGAACAGTTGAGACCGTAGGTGACGGTATTTAGCTTTAAGACTTGAAGGGATTCATCAGGGTTGGATCGCCAAAAGATTAACTGATATTTCTTGTCATCTTCAGCCACCAGAATCTGGCGATACATCTGTCGTATATCACAAGTGAACACAAACTTGTGACACCTAAAGTACAGCAAGACATCACTAATATCATTCTGCAACTTAGGGCCAGGCATGAGGATATCGTTTAGGGAGACGCCATTGTTTGTTTTGGAACTACCATCAAATACGACTCGTATTTTGGAATTAGGGGATTCTCCTTAAATACTCCATGATGGGGTAAATAGTAACATTCACCAGAAAGGGGTTGCTCACATGCACTCATGTGACCTGATTTGATGTAGTCATCCATAAATTCGGAGTATAAATCTTTGAATTCGGGCTGAGCAGCAAATTTTCTTTCCATCGCTTTAAGTCTAAGTTGAGCTGTACTACAAGATTCACCTAATAGTGGATGATTTGGTCTTTTCGGTAACTTAACAACATATCGACCAGAGTTATCACGTGTATGGGTTCTTTCAAAATGCTCTAAGCAGAGAACATCTTCTTCTGACTGAGTCTTGACACATGTCGGGGGTTCTTCGATTGACCAAAACCTTTGAATTGAACTGTGAAGGTCTCCATCATGTGTAGTGAGAAAAGAAACAGTTTTTGGGATTGATAACTCAGATGTAGCAACAGGAGCTATGCCCATTACAACAAATCCAAATATAGTTCCTAAAACTTGGGGCAGGTTATGGCCTAAGAAGTGCTGCTCACCAGTCAGTGAGAGAGCGAATAAATCAGCTCCGATCAATAGATCAATTTCTCCAGGTTTGTCAAAACAGGGGTCTGCAAGAACAAAATCATTTAAAGATCCCTTCACTTGAGGTGAGACTGGGATCTGAGGCAGTGGTGAAGTGATACGATTCAAAACCAAGCATGGATGATGGTAGGCTAAGCGTTGACCAATAACTGCAGATATATCAATGTGCACTATTCCTCTAGAATGAATTAGTGAGCCAGAAATTCCTTGGATTTCATCATGTGCTCGAGTACGGGAGGCACTGATGAGCTGAACAGCTCTTTCAGATATCAATGTAAGTTGAGATGCAGAGTCGAGCACAGCACGGAGTACAGTTTGCTGACCATCTTTGGAAAACACCTGAACTAAACATGTTCCAAGTAAAATTGTTGTTTTAGTTGGGTTTACTGGCTAGACAATCCTACAAGAGCACTTTTATTCACTGGTGCGGTGACATGGCTTTGGGGTGCGTTATTTGTAGGCGGCTTACCATATTTTTTTTCAAAAACCTTGGTTGGGTAACTTGGCTGCTGTTGTGTGGGAGTTGAGTCATGTAAGAGAGTGTGATGTCGCTTTGAACAAATTCGACACACTCTATGAGAAGGACAGTTATTAGTATCATGTAGATGGCCTAGGCAGTTGGCGCATAGATTATTTTTACAAGTGAATTCAACTCTATCACCTCTACTTTTAGCCTGAAAGGCTTGACACTTGTATATATTGTGATCGGATGCTTGACAAAACTTACAAGTGTTAGTCACTGTGACGAAAGCTGTTTTAGCTTGAGAGGAGTAAGGTTTACTATCTCGAAGAGGTTTAGGCCTATAACTATTAGATTGAGTCTTTTGCACTGAAGGGTATCTTGCGTTAGCTGAGGGACCAAGACCGATACTAGCTCCTTCTAATCGTTTAAATTCTCTTTCAAGGAATTGAATTAGATCATTTACTGCAGGTATGTCATTGTTTGTGATGCGAGAATCCTCAAAAGATTTTCTTAAATCAGTAGGTAACTTTTTCAAAAGCGTTAGGACAAGCAGAGTATTTTCAGCTGTTATGTCATGGTTGAGATTTTTCAAAACTTGAGTGTTCTCTTTATAAACTGTGAGAAAATGTTGGAGACTTTTGAGAGAACCACTACTTATGCATGGCAAATCAATGATTTTTGAAACAAGCTGAGTTACAACATGCCTTTTGTTATCATAGCGATCCTTAAGCAGCCTAAGTGCAACATCAAAGTTTTCTGCAGTTATGCTTAAGCTCTTTACTAAATCTAAGGGTTCACCACTTAAAGAACTAAGCAGATATTGGAACTTACTCACAGGGGCCAAAGTTTCATTCCTATTAATAGAAGCCTCAAAAATATTGTAGTAGCTAACCCATTCTTCGTAGTTACCGCTGAATTTGGGCAACTCAAATTTGGGCAGTCGCAGAGATGGTTGGGTGGGAGGTGTTACTTCTTTAGTTTTAGCAGGTAACACTATTTTCAAGTCACTGATCAGAGAAATGTACAAGTCCGAAATTTCATCTTGCATAGAGCATGCTTCAGTTTCGTCATAATCAGAACCAGGATCATCATAAACCACTTTATCGAATAAAGCTTTAAAATCAGAGAATAAACCTCTAACTTCATCATCATAGTTGTGTAAGCGCTGAATGGAAACAACATTTAATGATTGAGTTTCTGAGAGAGTAATTTGGGCTGACACAAACTTGCTTATTTTCTGAAGCCTATTTTTGACAAGTTTTGCCTTTTTCTCTAGTGTAGAGAATCTCATTTTAACAGACCATTTATGTAATCAACAGAGTAAGCTATAGGCCTAAGTTTATCATAAGTTTAGGCCTACGTAAATATTCACCAACACCTAAATATCAAAATAACTCCAAGTCTTAGACCTAACAATAAGGCAAATTAATAGCTCAGAATAAATCAATTCATTTACATTCACTCTATAAGAAATAATGAACGTAAAATTATATTTCACTTTACCATCAGACCCAGGATAGACATAGTAAATAAAAGTAAAGTCTATTTAACACAAGTCATTTAATTTGAATCAGTATTTTCGCAGAATATATTGAGTAGGGAAGTATTTATTATGAGCAATATCCTTAATGTAGACAAGAATCGATTCAACCACTAATATTTCGTTTAATATTCACACAAAACAATATTTTCCAAGATGTAAATAAACTTGAAGGTTACGTTTATATTTTGATTCAATTCACACAGCTGTATGTAGCTGGAGTGTGTTTTATATTCAGTCAGCTGATTTCCTGTGCTTGAAACTGAGTTTTACATATGATCAATTTGAAGAAGCAATATCATTGGGCGATTTATTCTGTTTTACGAATCTCGACGCTCATTGGTTCTTGCGACGTGCAGACTGTAGGCAGAGCGCTCTAGTGGAGAAGTTCGCTACCAAGGTGCATCGCAAGGACAGAAAATATAAAATGGCTGACTTTCTGATAAGTGAAAATATGTTAGAAAATTAAGGACGAAACAAAGTGCAGACAAAAATTATTGTTAATGACAATAATTGATATGGTGAATTGATTGAGAAACTTAGAGAAAATATTAAATATCCTAACTAATTCCTGATTTCAAATAACTAGTTGAAAGGAAATATGACGTGATTCATGTAGCAGTGGGAGGACATGAACATGAAACTAACATGAAATATTCACGTCTGAGATGGCACAGGGGAATCGAATAAAATATTATTTATTCACCAAAAATAGTAATGGGGCATACAAATGCTGCTCTAATTATTTAGAGAAGTGACACTTTTAAGAGTTTAGTTGTACAATTTTAACAGTTACAGTAGCTAGGCTAATAAAAGCACAATATATTATTAATGATATGATTTTCGTCCGACTCGACAGGACCAGCGGATGGGGGGTAAACTTGCCTAAAAATGTTCAAATGGACTGTATGTTGAAAGAGCAATATTAAAAACTTGTCACTAATTATTTAACAGATAATACTGTAATAAGATTGATGAGGTACCTTCCTTTTAACTGAAGTGTTGAGAAGACGAAGCCGGTAGACGTACACGAGTTTCTTCTGCTGGCCAGCTATTGCGTATTGCTCGTACACAGACCCGGACCGGCAGTAGTATAGTTTCACTTCACAAATAATGTTCAATCGTTCACTTTTAATATGTGTCACTAATAATAATTAAATATACTTTGGGGTTAAGAGATGAGAGCAGCAATTGGGAGTTAATTGTGCCGGGGACATGTTAGTAGTTGCATGGATGCAAGAGAACTGGGGCGAGATTGGGGTTTCCAGACATCACGTGACAGGACAAAGGTTATTGTATGATATGAAACGTCTGGAAATATCTAGGTAGCGCTTGAATACGGAACAGATATTTATTATATAGATATATTAGTAGGCATCTTTCATCAAGAGCATACCACAGATTGTAGAGAGATTGCATACAAGTTTTATTACTTAAGAGTACAATAACACTTCAAGATAGGTTTATACTTTAAATCCATACTGATTACTTTTAGAAAAATGTAGATCACATTACTCGAATTTAGGGTATGTAGGGTACGTTTGGAGGTATACAAAGTTTAAATGAAATCAACTAAGCGCTCTCTAAAGTAAAGACATGCTTTGGTCTAACTAAATTTCAAACTGTAAACTTCACATCTGCTAAACAAATGTTGAGTGAGTTTAGAATTATTTTCTTGAAAATTTTAAACTTTGCTTTTTCATTTTAGTGGATAATGCTAAGGTTTCTCGTAATATCTTATGTGTTAGCCTCTACAATATTTCATTCTTTATTACCTGATAAGTCAATTTTACAATATATATCAATTTAAATAATTAACGTATCCATGCAATTATTGTTATGTATAGAAAATCAATTAAAGTTAAATATTTGATTGCCGGGGAGTTATTTATAGAAACTTCATTTGAGGTGATGAGAGATAAAATTAAGAGACAAATATAAGTCTCTAAGGTATGTACATCTGATCTATATACAAGGTGTGGCAATGAGAGCTATACAATTTATAAGTAATACAAAATCTGTAATTTTTACTCTACAGATATAAAACACATCAAAACAATGGTAATCTTATACCATTTTGTCCTGGATAAGCTATTATTTCATATATTGAAAACATCATCCTTCAAGTGACTTCCTTGAAAATGTTGACATTCTTAGGGTCACTTGAAATACCGTCAAATACGCTTTCAAGCATTTCTTGAAGAATCGCTTGAACCTCTTCGGTGACTCTCTGCCCGAGTTCAAGCAGGGCCAAATTTGAAAAAAAAAAACTTACACTTTAAGTAGCCCCATACAAAGAAAACACTCACGAACAAATCTGGGAATCGAACTGACCAGGATATGTCAACAGATCTTAAGATCAAACTAC